CTTGGTCTGAGTTCTCTGCTGTGGCCTGTCCGTCTTGGGTGGCCCTCCATGGCATAGCCCACAACCTCATCGAACCGCTCAAGCCCCCTCGCCACGACAAGGCAGTGATCTATGAGGGGGTTTGTGATAGACTAACATTAATCAGCAAAATGTGGTATGAAAGAAAAGGAGCGGACTTTTCAAACATTTGTCAGCGTTAGAGCTAATTGCTGGCTTTTGCAGATTAAGATAATGCCCATTTAATTCCCCTCCCCCCAATATCTAATTTACAAATTCTTTCAACAGGCATCTCTGCCTCTTCTATTAAAACGAGACTTAAAAAATGTGGATGAATGCCAGAGTGTTCACAGCCTTTCACAGTCACAGGGGTCATTTCCTGTGGGAGTGCACAGGAGCGGAGCTCCGGCAGTAAGGAGCCCAGGGGGTGGGCACATGCAACAAACCCCGCCCCCTGCTCCCAGCAGCCCTCATTTGGGCCACGAGGAGCAAGAAGCAGCCAGGTAAGTTGCAGAGCCCCCCCCCCCGGCCCACCTTCAGGTACAAGCTCTCCCTCTTTTTTTTTTGCGCCCCCCCCCCCCATAGCTAGCAATCCAAAACAGTCCAGTGGCACCTTTAAGACCAAGTTTTATTCAGGTACAAGCTCTCCCTCCTCTGTGAGGACACATCTGCATGTCCCCCCCCCAATAGCCAGCAATCCAAAAGAGTCCAGTGGAGCCTGAATGGTGGATGTTGCCTTCTGACACACTTCCGGTGATGTCAGGGGCTGTGGCATATGGTCACTTACATTACTATAAACACTATAGTGTGGGGGGAGGGAGAGGGGGAATCAGTGTGTTGTAGTTGTTGGAACAGGGTCTAGGAGACCTGGGTTTGAATCCCCCCACCCAGCTAGGTGACTTCGGACCAGCCACGCTCACAACCTAACCTACCTCACCAGGCTGCTGTGAGACAAAAATGGAGCAGAGGAGAATGATGGGAGTTGCTTTGGGTCCTCATTGGTGAGAAAGGCGAGGTATAAATGAAGTAAGTTCATTTCATGTGTTAAAAATAGAATGACCACTTCAGCTAACAATTACTGGTTTTACCAGCGGCCAACCTCTGAGCCCTGACCAAGGCAATCAGAAATTTAATTTCTTCCAGATACTGGGTTGAAATCTTGTATCCCAGCCAAAGATCATGCAGTGTTACTTTTAAGCCTTTTTAAAAAATAATCTACTTATTCTTAAAATGATCGAGTAAGCAAGAAACACAGATGTACAGAGAACACTTGCATGTGTCAAAGAGATAGGGTTGC